AAGCAGCAGACTCTTCAGGCTCATAAGCTGGAGTCCAGTTCACTAATGGAACTGAAATTCACCTTGACTAGGAAAGAAATCCTGATTCTTCACACCTCCTTATGGGGTGCCTGAGCCCCACTGCAGGTGAGTTCAATCATCACCTCTAGGGCCTGGACACTGATATGTCTCAAAAGCATCTAGGTGTTTCCAATGAATAGGTGGCCCGGAGGCCGAATATTCTCCTCCCAGTCGCCCACACCACCCCAAACAGGAGTTTCTTAAACAAGGTCTAACCTTGGCATTCACCTGGCAACACTTTCCATGGCTCTCACTGCCTACAGGCTGGAGTCTAAACTCTGCGTGGCACTCACAGCTTGGATCCAGCCTCTTTCCATTAGTGACACTAATGGCTAAAATGGACTGAGTGTTTCACTGGACCCAGGCATTGCACCAAGGGCTTTATATGTGCTATATCCCATTCACTTGTCACCTAACTTTAGGAGAATATGTCTTGGCCCAGTTTCCTTATTGTAAAATGGGGACATTCTAAGAAAAGCATTTAGCGCAGTGTCTGGTATGTAGTTACTGCTCAGTTAACAGTAGCTATTACGGCATCATCCCTGTTCTAAAGATGAGAAGGTTGAGGTTCAGGGGTGTTAAGTAACTCGCCCAAGGCCTCAGCCCTGATAAGTGAACAGAGATGGGGCCTCAACCCAGGAAGTCTGGCTTCAGTGCCCAGACTAGCCTGCCTTTCGCTCTGCCACTGAAGGCCAGTGCTCACCTCAGGCCAACTTCCAGAGCTGCCCTTGACGACGTCCCCCGCGCGGTTAGAATGCCTCCCTCCGTCCTCCTCCGGAAGGCTTCCTTCCAGCACTCTCTTCCCCCATGACCCCCCCTAGGCAGAGGCTGATATCCCTCAGCCTTCTCAGCAGACCTCTCTCTCCACTCTCATCCCACCCAACTGTCACTTAGACAGAGGGTGCACCCCCTCAGGGGGACAGAGTCCTCGTCACCTCTGGCTCTGCCATGCCTGGCCTGGCATGGAGCAGACCTCTGCGAAGGTTGCCTGGGTTTGTTGCAAGCCAAATCCATGGGGGAGAGCTGGGCCAAGAGTGGAGAACAAGACCTTCTGGCAGGGACGGCCCGCCCGTTCTCAGCTGTCAGCATGCACTCCAGAGCAAGCACGCTCGTGCTTTTCTTTGGCCAGAATCCCTTCACCATCTGCCAGAACTTCCAGTCCCCTGGCCCTGGCTCTCACTTTGCTCTCCAGCCACCCCCTAAAGTTGGCCAGCAGGAGATTCACCCCTAGAGGAGCGTGTACCATCTAACAACATGAGTCCAGAAGATTCCTCACCTCCCCCAGTTCATTTATTCAACAAATATATATTGAACCCTGAGCCAGGTACCATGGTTGGCACTGGATACAGGGTGGAGTGCAAACCAGGCATGGTCCCTGGCCTCATGGAGCTTACGTGCTGGTGGGGGAGCAACCAGCAAGTAAATACACAAATGCATGTGCAATGGTAATTTCCATACGAGAACAACAACAAAAAGATACAGGACGTTGAGACAGATTCAAGCCCAGTAGTCAGGGAAGGCCTCTCTGAGGAGGTGGCATTTATGCCAAGGCCTGAGGGCACGAAGAGCTCAGCCTGCAAAGGGCAGAAGAAGAGCATTCTGGGCAAAGGGCACAGCATGTGCAAAGTCCTGGAGGTGGGAATGAGGTTGGAATGTGGAAGAAATGAAGGCAGGCCAGGGTGGCGGAAGCACAGGGAACAAGATGATTGGGACTGGCAAGAAAAGAGCTGGAAGTGAGTTTGGGACCTGATGAGGAAGAGCTTGGATTTTATCCTTAGAATAATAGGGTAATAGGGTAAGGATTTTAAACCAGAGTTGATATGATATGGTTTGCGTGTTTTAAGCTCTCTCTGGTTGCGCTGAGAACTGATTGGCAAAGCAGGAAAGAAGCAAAGCCATCTTTTGGAGGGCAGTGATCTGGGGAGAAGTGATGTGGCCAGACCAGGGTGAAGGTTGTGGGATCACAGAGAAGTAGATGGACTCCAGAGATATTTGCAGAGCTTTCCAGAAGAGCTAAAGAAAAAAAAACTTTATTGAATGTCTGCGACAACCCCGTTGATGGGGTGGGAGTTGGGGGCACCAGAAAGGCTTGGGAATATAAACAAACATATGAGTTCTCAACCACAGAAACCAATACACACAGTCACCTTTCCCCGCACAATCTCTCAGGGAGAATGAACCTAAGAGCAACTAAGATGCTCAAAGTTCTGGGCCATTTCCACCTCATTCAACGGTGTCAACTGGTTCTTTTGGAGTTGGGTATTTGAAATATGAAAATGTGTTTCCCACCGTCCCGCCATGCGTAAATGTTGGATTCTTGGGCTAGGGAGCGGTCAAACTGCAGGACTGGAAAACTGCCCTGGCATCTTGGGAGCAGTGAGCCACCACCTGCAGTGGCCAGGGAGGAGAGTGCAGGGGGGAGGGGGAGGGGAGAGTGCAGGGGGA